CATTTGTGAAATTACCATTTTATCCTTAAAAGTGGGGGTATTTCGGTAATTGTACATTCGGCTTATTTATCTCTTCCGAAATGAAAATACAAAAAAGCCTTAAAACTACTTTTTTTTAACTTTCTAAAAGCACTTTTTATCTACACTAACATGTACAATATCGGATGTCCGGACTAATTTATGCTTATCTCGATCTAAGCAAAGTGCTCACTCCATGTGAATTTGATAAATCTCAAGTAAAGAAATTCTATTTACACACATCTACTTAGTTCAGTTCACACACTTAACGAAATATTATTTTAATAACAACTTACTCTAAACTAAAATGGCCATAGTAGACATTCATTAACACCCAAAATATTATATCAAAATATTCTCTATACACATCTTTTAGGTTTAAGATTAGTCTTGCTTTATTAGTCAATGCTTCCATTCACATTTCAGTAATTGGTCTAACACCTTTTATTTTCTTTAATTTTTTATTTTGAGCAATTATGAATTTTATTTTTTCAGTTAATTCTATTAAATAAAAAATTCTGACAAGTGGGTATTCGTAATTTTCTAAATCACAGGAAGTAATCTATACTTCAAACAAACTTCGGGGGATGTATTTGTAATTTACCCTAATTAAAATTATGAAATTCTCATATTACCCTTATGTACATTTGTGAAATTACCATTTTATCCTTAAAAAGTGGGGGTATTTTGGTAATTGTACATTCGGCTTATTTATCTCTTCCGAAATGAAAATACAAAAAAGCCTTAAAACTGTTTTTTTCTAACTTTCCAAAAGCACTTTTTATCTACACTAACATGTACAATATATTTTTTTTATCGGATGTCCGGACTAATTTATGCTTATCTCGATCTAAGCAAAGCACTCACTCCATGTGAATTTGAGAAATCTCAAGTAAAGAAATTCTATTTACACACATCTACTTAGTTCAGTTCACACACTTAACGAAATATTATTTTAACAACAATTTACTCTAAACTAAAATGACCATAGTAGACATTCACTAACACCCAAAATATTATATCAAAATATTCTCTATACACATCTTTTAGGTTGAAGATTAGTCTTGCTTTATTAGTCAATGCTTCCATTTACATTTCAGTAATTGGTCTAACACCTTTTATTTTCTTTAATTTTTTATTTTTTTATCTACAGGAAAAACCTTGCAAATTGTACAATCACATCATAATAACAATTCAGCTAAAACTATTCCAGATCTTTTAAAGAAGAATTAGCATAATGGTGCTATCAAAATGAGAAGAAACAGAAGCATTGCAATTTCTCATGCTCATCAAAACCAGAAGGAGACTGTGATTCTTCTTGTCTCTGGCATCTTTTGTTCATAGTATACCTCCAATTCATAATATGAAATACAGTGTATTTGAATTTTGAAAATGCATATATCTATTTCTTTTCGATAGGATGGAGTAAAGCACTATGGGACTCAATACAACGAAAGTTGGGTTAGGATAGTTATTCAATTGTAACAACCTGTTGCTTTTGTCCCTTATGATCTTTATTGACATCAAAAAATGAAGCCTGTTGTTGTGTTTGTCTTCATTGTGAATCGAAATAGGGCATCAAATAATGAAACCTGTTGTTGTGTTTGTCTTCATTGTGAATCGAAATAGGGCATATCGTTGCTCTTCATTTTGAATAGGTGTGTGGAAAGAGGGTTGAGGTTGAAGTGGTGTATGTACAATATATGAGTTAAGGAGGGTATGATTGAAATAATTGGTGTGGGGAATGAGAACAAAAATTAATAATTAAATTACTAAAGATTATTTTGGGAAGATGATTATAATCAGCTTTTTGTGAGAGAAGGAAGTGGGTTATAATCTGGGAAGTTATAACCCACTTCCCAAAAGACCCCTAAATATGTGCACTGAGATAATCAGATGTGTGGAAATATAATACCCAGACCTAAAGAGTTTGTCACCACTATTGAACCCAATATGCCACCACTTTCCCCATCCCTATCCCTGACTTCCTTATGAACACATATATATCCACTTAAAGCCGGCTTATTGGATTTTTAACTTTTTAAGTCACATTATTTTTCTATTTTTTACATATTTTTCTTTTTTAAAAAAAGTAAATGAAACCAAAAAATTAATTTGTAATTTACTTTTCAAACTAGGTCATATATATAAATCAATTTTTGATCGATTTGAAACTATAAAATCTCCATATCGTAGTAATGGCAAGGGTAATTGAGAAAGGATGGTAATGGCAACTGCAAAAAAGTGAAGACGGGATTCTGCCTCCCGTGAAATGGGAGAAGTTGGATCAAATTTTAGGATTATTTTTTATTTTTATTTTTTTGTAATTTTCTCAAAAGTCTAATTACCCAAAAGGATGTACCCTACATATGAGAATGTCACACGAAGGGTCTAACCTCATCTCTATTTACAAAAATTTATATGGGTAATGTTAAGGTTGTGTACCAAGTAATGTTATTTTTGAATTTGATTATCATAAATAACATAATTTAATATTATGAATCATAATTATAAATAAATAAAAAGAAGAAGAAATACAACCAAACACCACATAAGTTATAACAAAGAAAAATATTTAATCATAAATAAAATAATGTTATAACCAATATTATAATGAGTCGAAATTAACAATATAATAGGTCATAATAAAAAATATAAAATTCATAATTAGGATGCATATAGAATTTCCCAATTTATATATTTTGTTTCTCAACAAGTAGAACACTTGTTTGCAATTTTTCGCAGCGGAATGAAAAAACTAAGAACATAAACTTTTTCATAAAAATAATAAATATTTTCCAACCTACCACTAAACTGTCATTTTTTTTAAAAAAAAATTATTTTATTGATTTGATACCTTTTTAAGTTGAATAGAGATTGGCTTTACAGCCGTAACAATCCACCCTTAAAAACAATAAGAATTCACAATTTTAAATCAGTTCAATATATCTTTTGATTATGAAATCGATTGTTTTTGACCAATCACAATTTATATGGACTCATTTGGAAATTGATTATTTTAATTATTTTTTAATTTTTTACAAAAAAATATACGAAAAAATAAAAAAATAATTAAGTGTTTAGCTTTTTAATTATTTTAGCCTGTTAATAATGTTAATATGTTAGACTATGCCTATAAACTATACCTATAATTTAATACTATTGATCTGTAATTGATAGTTGTTGCTAGCCTAGCAGATAGTTCTTTACACCTTCACACCTTCTTTACACCTTCTTTTCCTTTTGCTTTCATTTGTATATTTCCTTTGTTCATCATTTTGTCTTGTAAATCATCTCCTATATAATGGAGGTTCCATTTGGTTGCAAATACATCAAACACACAGAGCTAATATTTGCTCTCTCAATCTCTCTCAATTTCTTATATCAAGGATCGGTTTTCCACCATGAACAAGCAATGGAATCTTCTTGTGAACTGGATTATACTGTAACAGCAATTCACTCTTGTTGGAGAGGTCTTCTTCTATGTACTCATACTTGACACCCTTTAGTTTCAGAGCCCATATCACTTTGCAACTGTAAGGACTAGGCCAAAATCCATGAAGCTTCACTTCTTCCATGGTTTGATGAGCCCTCTGAGTCTTTTTTCTTGGAAGAGACCCTCCTTTAGTTAAAGGTTGTTTTGGGACCATTTAGACAGTATGTGTTTTCTTCCTTGTGTTTGCCCCTTGAGCTATCTATCCATGAAATCAACAAGAGGACAAAAAATATACATTGTAAACAAATAACTAAAAAATAATTAAAACACTGCTTAAAAGTCACAAGTTTTTAAGAACACAAAAAACTATTATTTAGGTATTACGTGCTTAATAGCCCCGGGACAATACACTCACTAGGTACCAAGCACTAAAGCCCTTCACCAAACTGAAAACACAAATGCACTGGCCATTGACCAAACAGAGAAATTTAACATAAACCAAAAACCAACATCACACTACTACAACTGTCAGAAATACCAGTAGCATCTTCCACTAATGCTTTGCAAGTAGGAAGTTTTTCTTTCATAGAGATGTCAGTACGACAGTAACATCTCTCTCAGATGCTTGAAAAGCACAAACATCTTGTCACGATCAAGAAGGTTTTCTTTGATCTCCGACACTTGAAATTTTTTAACTTCAATCTTCAATTAACTTCAAATACAAAATTATTGAGAGGGTAATTGATATATATAAATTAGGCCGAGTTGGGTAATGGGCTGTTGTGAGCCACAGTAAGAAGGGCGAAGTAAAAAAGGCCTTGGCGTTAGTCCGGTTCCCAAAAGGCCTTGTTATTATCCCGGTCCAAGAGAGTGTTACAGACAGCCCGGTCACCACACTCAAAGTTAGCCCGGTCGTGGCATGTTGCGGTTAGCTCGGTCAAAACCTTGCTATTTCTTAGCTCGATCTAAACATATCATGGTTTATAGAGGAGAAGCTGAGGTAAAAGTAGTGAATGGAAGAAACCGAACTGGCTTTAGTTCGGTCTACTCTGCGGCTTAGCATAGCCATGCTTACCTCGGTTATATTGGGATCCGACCATGGTAAAGCCATCTCACTTGGTTTAAGTAATGAGGGGATGTTGAAGGATAAGTATTATCTTTTAGAAATGTGATTCCTAGGGGGACTCTACAGGGAGGAGTAAGAGTCCTACTAGGATTGTGCCACACGGAACCTATAAAAGCTCACAACATCACCTATGGAGAGGTAACGCAACTTTGATTCTCGAATACACAGAGCTTTTGTCTATTTGTCTATTTTGGTTTCTTTTATCTCTCAATTTCTCTACTTTTGAAAAGATTGAAAATGAGGGTTATAAGATAAATGAGTTTCTCTCCGTTTCCCTCATTTCTTTCTACTTAAATTATCCAAATAAGTAAGAGAAATACATATCTCTTCATTTCTTTTATTCTCTCTAAATCACTCAATCCAAACATAGTGCAAGAGAAAACTAATAAAAATACATCTTTATCAAAGAAAATAGACACCACTTAACATTATTACATTGAATTAAGATGTGCTAAGTGATTTAATAAATGAGTAATGATAGGTATCATGAAAAAAAATCATGAAAATGATCATAAAAGTGATTATGAAAGATTCTTCACCGTTAGATTACATATACAAGAAAACAACACACTAATCAAAGAATAAAAAATCTTCATAAAATATTTCATGATATTTTTTTCATAATTACTACTATTATTCTTAATAAATTTTTAGTCTAGACTCAAGTAAGTCATTTTATGGCCTAAAAAGGCCTAACAATCTGGGTAGTGCAAAACGGGAATTCACAGGTGCCCACTCAATAAGGACTCGAGCCATAACTTGACTCTAATCTTTGATAAGGAGTCGATGAGTCAAAAATTAAGATTAAACAACTGAAGTAAGATAAAAATAACAGCAAGATGATATAATTACCTTCTGTTCTCCAAAATTGATCCAAAACCTAGCCATGGCTCTCTCATAAACATCCTCCGGCAGCAACGGATTCTCCGGCCATGTTTCTTCGATGATTCAAGGATTACAGATGACTCAAGGATCGGTTTTCCACCATGAACAAGCAATGGAATCTTCTTGTGAACTGGATTATACTGTAACAGCAATTCACTCTTGTTGGAGAGGTCTTCTTCTATGTACTCATACTTGACACCCTTTAGTTTCAGAGCCCATATCACTTTGCAACTGTAAGGACTAGGCCAAAATCCATGAAGCTTCACTTCTTCCATGGTTTGATGAGCCCTCTGAGTCTTTTTTCTTGGAAGAGACCCTCCTTTAGTTAAAGGTTGTTTTGGGACCATTTAGACAGTATGTGTTTTCTTCCTTGTGTTTGCCCCTTGAGCTATCTATCCATGAAATCAACAAGAGGACAAAAAATATACATTGTAAACAAATAACTAAAAAATAATTAAAACACTGCTTAAAAGTCACAAGTTTTTAAGAACACAAAAAACTATTATTTAGGTATTACGTGCTTAATAGCCCCGGGATGATTTCATCGGTCTTGCATTGCACTCTGCGAGATTAGGTACAGAACCGTGACATTGAGTCCTGAACTGTAGTGAGCCCAATGAACAAAACGGGGGATTTCCTCCCGGGACGTTCGGGGACGTCTACACCAATCCTAGTTAAAATTATCAAAACCAATGCAGATGGTGAGTAGATACAAAAATAAATAAAGGTAAATATACATTTTAGTAAAAAATATGTGATAACGTTATATTTTAATCTATACGACTCATGAATTAACAATGAAAAAAACTTAAATGTTATGTGAATTAAAATTTCGAGAGAGATCGCTGTAATTATGTTAAAATTGTGGGACTAACTATATTTTCTCCCAACTTCAGGGGAGGTGAGTGTAATTTACTGAAAAGTAAAATATTTGTGAAAAAATTTATAAAAAAATTCACTAAATATAAAAAACAAAAACAATACAAAAAAATAAATTCTAATATTTCTGTATTTAGTATTTTTTTTTTAATAGAATTCTTTACAAGTATTTTACCTTTTAAGTATATTTAAATTAGATATATAAATAAAATATTTAATTAAAATATTAAAAAATCATTAAAGACCAAAAAAAATCAAAAATAATTTTAGAAACAGTGATTTAAAGATAGAAAATAGTTGGGGAAAATACAGATCAGAGGGAGTTTGAAAAAATAATTACAAATTGATGAAAAAGTTTAAGCTTTTAATTATTAACATTTATAAAGTTTATCATTGATTTGTAATAATTTTTTTATATATTTTTTCCAAAATAGTTCGATGGACTAATTACTTTTTAAAAGTGAGTCCATTAATAAATTTTAGGGTAAATTACAAATGCACCTCCTGAGATTTACTTATATTACAAATTATCTCATGTGGTTCTAAAAATTATATTATGCCCATAAGGTTTCTAATTTCATAACAAATAGGTCATTTTATTAATAAATTATCAAGTTAATTAACAGTTTTTAATAATGTTAAAATTTTATTTCAATTAATAATTCAGATAATTTTATTATTGTATAGGTGAACAGTCAGAAATTTCACTTTTCAATTAATTCTGTTAAATAAAAAATTTTGATAGGAAGGTATTTGTAATTTTTCAAACTATAACGCTCTGTTTGGTTGGAAGATTTGAAGAGGGATTTGGAAAGGGAAAGGGAAAAGTTAGGTGAAATGTAAATAAAATATACCTACATTTCATCTAGCTTCACACACTTTTTCCATTTCTCTTTCCAAATCCCTCCCCAAATCCCCCAATCAAACACAGCATAAAAGACAATTCGTATTTTAAGCAAATCTCAAGAGGTGTATTTGTAATTTATCCTAAATTTTATAACATCTTATACAACTATGATTCATGAATGTCTCATTCTGAATAGGATTTGAAAATCAGGTGACTTGCAAGGCAACATATCGAATCAGAACGGCTTTGAATAAATTTTGGATTGTGGCAGTTTCCTTAGCTGCAATGATTTTTCTTTTTTAAGAAAAAATAAAAAAAGTTGTTTATTTGCTTTATACAAAGCTGTGGCTTTAGTGGTTATTTTGAAATGACAAAAAAATAATTTCCTTTCTTTTTAGCTTTTGCCAATTCAAAAAGTTTACGAAAAAGTACAAAAGAAAAAGATCTTAGAGTTTGATCCAATAACAAATCAAACTTCAGTTTCTTAATTTTATCATTTTAAATTTTGTACTTTTAAATAGGTTTCAATTCAACTTATTTGTCAAAATTCACTAACAGAGAAAGAATAAAATAGTCCTTTTACCTTCTATTCTATGAATAATTTTGTCAATTTACCCATATAATATTGCTACTAAATACATTCACTTAGGCTTATTTTGGGTAATTTTATTTACACATCTTTACTTATCTCAGTTTACACCATACACAAATTAAAACTTTTAATTTTGTCTTAATACACATCAATAATTTTCAGATAATACTAAACTACTCTCATCTTCTCCAACAAATCCTAACCCTCACCATTGTCGGCAACCATCGCCTTCCACCAGCGTCGTTCCCTTCTCAATCTCTCTTATTCTCCCATGGCCGCTGCCCCTTCCTAGTCTTCTCCCCCTCCTGCTACTGTTTCTTCCTCTCCATCTCCACCTTCAGATCGGATCTGTGAAGAACCCAGTTGATCTCAGCCTTCACACACTCGCCGCTACTCCTCTATCAACCATCTCACCCCAAGTCGCCTCTCCTCACTGTAACTCGTGCCGTCCTTCTCTACCACCGACGAAGATCTGAAAACCCTTGGCTAGAATGAACCGCGATGGCTAGAGAGATAGAGAAAGAGAGAACCCAGCTCACCACTTTGTTTCTTTCTGTCCAAACTCCCAATTCTTTCTCTCATCACTTTCTCTCTTTAAAAGTCATGGCACCAGCATCTGAGCAACACAAACTCCAAAATGGTCTATGTAATAGATGCCGGGCAAGAGAAGAGAAATGCTATAAAGGTGGTGATGATCGAAAATGAGTGAGGTGACTGCTGGTGGTCGAAAATGGCAAAGGTTAGGGTTGAGTTGGTTGGGAGGGAGGGAGGGAGAAATGAAAGGGTGTGTTAGTAATTTGATTGAAGGATAGAAATGCAATAAAAAAAAATTTAGAGAAAAGATATGCACTGAGTTAATCAAGTGTGTGGAAATAGAATTTCCCGCTTGTTTTGGAAAGATGGAAAAAAAATTCCTTTTTTGTTTGTTTGTTTGTTTTTTTATTTAAAAAAAAAATGCATTTGTGAAGTTTTTTTTTAAAAAGTATTATAATATGGTGTCACATCATTAACGAAAAGGGTAAATTATAAATACATTCCCTGAGATCTGATTAAAATACAAATCACCCCTTGTGGTTCTGGAAATTACATTTCACCCTTTGAGGTTTTTAATTTCATAACCAATCACTCATTTTATTAATAAATTATCAAGTCAATAAACAGTTTTTAATAATGTTAGAAATATGTTTCAATTAATAATTTAGGTAATTTTATTATTGTATAGGAGAGCAATTATGAATTTTATTTTTTCAGTTAATTTTATTAATAAAAAATTCTGACAAGTGGGTATTCGTAATTTTCTAAATCACAGGAAATAATCTATACTTTAAACAAACTTTAGGGGATGTATCTGTAATTTACCCTAATTAAAATTATGAAATTCTCATATTACCCTTATGTACATTTTTGAAATTACCATTTTATCCTTAAAAGTGGGGGTATTTCGGTAATTGTACATTCGGCTTATTTATCTCTTCCGAAATGAAAATACAAAAAAGCCTTAAAACTGCTTTTTTCTAACTTTCCAAAAGCACTTTTTATCTACACTAACATGTACAATATATTTTTTTTATCGGATATCCGGACTAATTTATGCTTATCTCGATCTAAGCAAAGCGCTCACTCCATGTGAATTTGATAAATCTCAAGTAAAGAAATTCTATTTACACACATCTACTTAGTTCAGTTTACACACTTAACGAAATATTATTTTAATAACAACTTACTCTAAACTAAAATGACCATAGTAGACATTCACTAACACCCAAAATATTATATCAAAATATTCTCTATACACATCTTTTAGGTTGAAGATTAGTCTTGCTTTATTAGTCAATGCTTCCATTCACATTTCAGTAATTGGTCTAACACCTTTTATTTTCTTTAATTTTTTATTTTTTTATCTACAGGAAAAACCTTGCAAATTGTACAATCACATCATAATAACAATTTAGCTAAAACTATTCCAGATCTTTTAAAGAAGAATTAGCATAATGATGCTATCAAAATGAGAAGAAACAGAAGCATTGCAATTTCACATGCTCATCGAAACCATAAGGAGACCGTGATTCTTCTGGTCTCCGGCATCTTTTGTTCATAGTATACCTCCAATTCATAATATGAAATACAGTGTATTTGAATTTTGAAAATGCATATATCTTATTATGCAAGCCCACTCCCACTACTAGTTAATGCATATATCTATTTCTTTTCGATAGGATGGTGTAAAGCACTATGGGACACAATACAATGAAAGTTAGGTTATGATAGTTATTCAATTGTAACAACCTGTTGCTTTTGTCCCTTATGATCTTTATTGACATCAAATAACGAAGCCTGTTGTTGTGTTTGTCTTCATTGTGAATCGAAATAGGGCATCAAATAATGAAACCTGTTGTTGTGTTTGTCTTCATTGTGAATCGAAATAGGGCATATCGTTGCTCTTCATTTTGAATAGGTGAGTGGAAAGAGGGTTGAGGTTGAGGTGGTGTATGTACAATATATGAGTTAAGGAGGGTATGATTGAAATAATTGGTGTGTGGAATGAGAACAAAAATTAATAATTAAATTACTAAAGACTATTTTGGGAAGATGATTATAATCAGCTTTTTGTAAGAGAAGAAAGTGGGTTATAATCTGGGAAGTTATAACCTACTTCCCAAAAGACCCCTAAATATGTGCACTGAGATAATCAGATGTGTGGAAATATAATACCCAGACCTAAAGAGTTTGTCACCACTATTGAACCCAATATGCCACCACTTTCCCCATCCCTATCCCTAACTTCCTTATGAACACATATATATCCACTTAAAGCCGGCTTATTGGATTTTTAACTTTTTAAATCACATTATTTTTCTATTTTTTTACATATTTTTCTTTTTTAAAAAAAATAAATAAAACCAAAAAATTAATTTGTAATTTACTTTTCAAAATAGGTCATACATATAAATCAATTTTTGATCGATTTGAAACTATAAAATCTCCATATCGTAGTAATGGCAAGGGTAATTGAGAAAGGATGGTAATGGCGACTGTAAAAAAGTGAAGACGGAATTCTGCCGCCTGTGAAATGGGAGAAGTGGGATCAAATTTTAGGATTATTTTTTATTTTTATTTTTTTGTAATTTTCTCAAAAGTCTAATTACCCAAAAGGATGGACCCTACATATGAGAATGTCACATGAAGGGTCTAACCTCATCTCTATTTACAAAAATTTATATGGGTAATGTTAAGGTTGTGTACCAAGTAATGTTATTTTTGAATTTGATTATCATAAATGACATAATTTAATATTATGAATCATAATTATAAATAAATAAAAAGAAGAAGAATTACAACCAAACACCACATAAGTTATAACAAAGAAAAATATTTAATCATAAATAAAATAATGTTATAACCAATATTATAATGAGTCGAAATTAACAATATAATAGGTCATAATAAAAAATATATAATTCATAATTAGGATGCATATAGAATTTCCTAATTTATATATTTTGTTTCTCAACAAGTAGAACACTTGTTTGCAATTTTTCGCAGTGGAATGAAAAAACTAAGAACATAAACTTTTTCATAAAAATAATAAATATTTTCCAACCTACCACTAAACTGTCATTTTTTTTTAAAAATTTATTATATTGATTTTATTCCTTTTTAAGTTGAATAGAGATTGACTGTTAAATCTGTTTTGGTTTTGAAATTTTTTGTATTGATATAAACCGAAATATTATATTCACGTACTTCTATATTGTAATCCTTTCAACATTTGAATATAAATAACTAATATTACATATTTCATTAAGGGATGGATGTGTAGAACAACTTTCATACTTTGCTTTATGTTTATTCTCAATATGAAATTCTTTGAGGTTTTATTATTCACTGTGCTTGGTTATCATTTTTCCAAAACACTTTTCAGAAAATTCTACTTTCTTATTTTTCGTGTTTTTTTGTTTTTACTGATTTTTTTAATATTTTGAGCAATTTTTTTAATTTTTAGACGTACCTAACATAAATATACCTAAAAAGTAAAAAAAAATTGAAAAAAAACCTTTTAAAAATTCACTAAATACCAAAAATACAAAAAAAAAAAAACGAAAATTCATGACATTTTTTTATATTTTTATGTATTTATTAATTTTTAAAAATATTTTTTCACAATTTTTTTGCTATTTAGATACATCTAAGTAAGGTGCATCTAAAAAAGTAAAAAAAAAAATGTTTAAAATTTTAAAAATATTCACTAAAAACAAAAAAACACGAAAACCAAAAAACTCAATTTTCAAAAAACTTAATTCAAAAAATTCAAACCAAACACACTTATTATTATTAAACTCTTTAAAACCTCATGTGAATCACGTTCCACCCCAAATTAACAAAATTGAATCGTAACATTCGGTTATTTTAGTTCCCTAATTAACAAAAATGAAATATCTGGTTTAATATTAAACTTTTCATGAATAACAACCAAACCATACTGCTTGCACTCCTAAAGATAGTGGTTGTGGTGTAGTGGTAGTAGAGTGGATGTGGCTGCAGTGATGGTAGACAATGGAGGCGTTGATAGTAGTAAGATGGTAGTAGTAGTAGTAGTGATACCGATAGCAGTAATGATACAGTAAAGGTGATGGCAGGATGACGGTGATAGCCAACGAAAGAGATAACAACAAATATAGTTTGCGGTAGGGTAAAGGTGGTAGTGGCTATGTATTCTGACTTTTTATTGGAATGAAATAACTATTTTCACTTGAATAAGAAAGAAATGCCAAGCGAAAATATATATATATATATATAAATTTGGAGTGGACATTCCATTCAAGTTCATTGCATCGAATTAAATGTGTACAAACAAGAGAGTAACATTTCCAAGCATAAAAGACTTCAAATAAGCCGTAGTATATCAGTTTTTAACTTTGTGAAACACTAGTTAAATAAACAACTTTTCCCAAAATTTTCAATCTGAGAAAACTTTACAAGTATATTCTATCAAGATCTTCAATTGCAAATAATTTAGAATTCATAATGACTATTAGCTCAGACGGGACAAGAATTTGACAGCAATATTGAATATGTTCATCCAAATGAAATTCTTAACAATATAACACACATGGCCTTGGCAGATATATGCACCATCTATAGCACACTATTTTAAGTTCTTATGTTCAGAATTTGGCACGGAAATTGCATTCAAAACTAACAAGAACCTGAAATTAACAGTACCGCATGGGCTTGGGAGGTAAGGAGTTAAAATACAAAGCAAATAACGTATGCTTAGTCTTATAATCATGTAAATATTGTAATATCTTGGCCAAATTATACAAATGCCAGAGTCAAATATAAAATTCTTGTGTACACTAAATTGTATTTACATTTCTATTTGACATAAAAATTTACAATAAGTGCGGGTAGCGTAAAGTTCTTTACATAGTCAGCTTTACCAAAAAAACTTGGACCTCCAAATTAACCACAAAGAATGCTGGTTAACGTTCATTAGCTATCACCATCTATTATGATATCACTAAACTAAACTAGCAAATCAAATCCCCTTTAAATCTAAAATTTTAAAAAAAATGTTTGACCACTTTTTAAACCGGAAAAATGTTGTCATTTTGTTTGATTTAATACAGCAGGAACCAAAATATCCTCCAAGCATCAGCCCTTGTGGACCGTTGAGTGCTGTTTCTTGAGGACTCTATTTGCATTGGCAAGATACTGCAATCCTTGATTTCATCTGATTATGACAGCTGTTCCACAGTATTACCGGCTCAAGGCACACCATCAAATTTCCGAGCTGCATAGCATACACAACAAAGACTCATCAGTGAAATAAAGTTGCATGCTTGCAATGGGAATAGTAGGAGGTCGAAATTTATGTAATTTGCTTTTTTTTTCTTTCTTTCTTTATTTATTTTTTTTCTTTTGAACTGAAAGCTTATGTAATTTGACTAGTAAGTACCTGTTCCTCCAATTCTCGTATTTTATCATCCTTCAGTTTTAAAGTCCTCTTCTCCCTGGAATAATACTAATCAGAGGGTGAAAAACATGGGAAACTAGAACAAACAGTAATAAACTAGATTAGATGGTTATACGTTGTTTTGTCAATAAAAAATAGGAGTGATCAGTTTTAGGAATATGCACAAAAGTGGGCTGGTGATGGCCAAGAATACAGCCTTCATAACACCACTTGACAATAGGATGAATCACAAACCATAGGAAGCTGTTTTCTAAAGCCAAATGGATGGTTATATGATGGACCGCATATCAAGAAGTCCATTATAGACATTTTTAGTTCTTCCTAATATCACGATACTGTTTAAATAGTAATATCAACAACATTGCTTGATAATTCAACAGCGAACATCATATGCAAATTCCAATCCCAATTTCACTCAATTGTAATTTTCCAATGAATTCATATAGTAGGACGATACACTATTGGAGAAACCCAATTTACTTCCCAATGGTTCATTTACAACATAAAATTTTCATTCTTAATTGCTAACAGAAGACAGGGCTATAAGAATTAACAGTCAATTTGACATGATATAATCATAACATATCTCCACAGGATTCTCATAATTAATCTTCCTGTGACTACCATCATAATCACCCTACGTTTTATTTACCATATCAAGGACCTCCACTCTATAGAAATCAGACGTTTGAAACAAATTGAAAAGAAGACGTCATGTTTAATTCAAATCTCTATTGATTCCTTTTTTTTTTAATTCAAATCTCTATTGATGTTCTTGTTCCCATTGGCTTCAATTTTGCACTCATTTGATTGGAAATTGCCCGAGGGAGAGAAATTAGACCTTTTAGAGAAATTTGGGATTGTGTTGAAGAAAAGAGTGCCTCTCATGGCAATCCCAACAGCAAGACTATCCAATCCTACACTTTACGAGTAAGCGAGAAACGACCATCGATCATCTGTTTCACTCTCTGTCTCATCTCTTCCAAATATTACCCGTGTGACTAAAAACAAAGATTAGAAGAATATGGGACCGACAATAGTACAGGGAGTGAAACAAATGAACTCAACCTACTAGCAAAGTAAAAATGATATATTGTAATATTGGTTGCACTTTAAATATCTAATGCAATTCTTTTTGAGATATTTACACATAAATCTTATCTTACAAACAAGTATTCTAATTAATCTCAAATTTTTTTCTATTGATTTGTTACCATGGAGATATATGTTCCTCAAATCCAAGCTTGCACCTGATCAATAATAATAATAATAAACTGTATCTTAAGAAATGTATAATTTTCCTGCAGTCACCAATGTGACTAGGCTTAAAGTGACATGTTACTTGAAACAAAACTATCAAAGACATGCCATGATCTTAAAAATTCTGCATGCAGCTATTTGATTTCAAAAAACGATGACAAAAAATATAAGGATTTCATAGGAATGGATACCTCATCAGCCAAATTAAAGCATTTTTTTTAATTTGTCATCAAATTCTTTTTCCTTCTCATCTAGTTGCCTAGTCAGTAAGATACCTAAAAGTATGAAGCAAAATTATCATAACTTACAAAGCTGAAAAAAAGAGCTTGCACTATTGAAAATAAACAAAAAAAAAAAAAAGTTACAAGAAATTGGGGTATAAGTCAATGTGTCCATACAAAAAGGATTGTAATATTGCGTACCAAAAAAAGAAATATAACTTTGGGAGGGAGGGTTCAACTTGTTTATGCAAAAGGAATATGATCCTACATTCAGAAGATATTTCAATTCCCCAATGACCAAAAAGTTCAAAAAATCACTACAACAAATTTGGGATTTAAAGACGAAACAAATTTGTCCCAAAATGTATATATTTCGTCACCCAAAGTAATTACGGCGAACATTTTTCGTCACCCGTTTTGTCGCCAAAGGGTCGTCGCTAAAGGGTCTTAGAGACGAAAAAAAAAATTCGTCATTGAAAATGATAAATTTATGACGAATTTTTTTGTCTCCAATACACTTTGTTGGGAACATACTTGTAAGTAATTAGCGACAAAATATTTTGTCATTAAAGGAGAAATTAGAGACAAAAGTATTTCGTCATAAATATAAGAAATAGAGACGAAATAATTTTGTCACGTTTAATATAAACAAAGACGAAAAATTTTTGTCAAAGAAGCTACTAATAGAGACAAAAATAAATTCATCATTAAAAATAATGAAATAATGTCAAAAAAAATTCGTCACACATTGAGGGTAATAGTGACAAAATGTGACAATATTTTTTGTCATGACAAATTCATTTAGCGACGAAATAAAGAATTCATGACAAAATTAATCATCCACCTAAGCTAAATAAGAGACAAAAAAACCTTCTTTAGGGATGAAAAATTTTGTCAATAATTCCATAATATTTTTTTCCACATTATATACCTATTTTATCAAAATCTAAATTTTAGTTCAACAAATATGACCGACTGGAATCAGAATGGGTGTTTCTGGTAAAGCATCCCTTTTCATTGCTTGCCCCCTGATTCAAAATGCTCTAAACCTGAGCAACAAAAGTGTCAGCCACAGTCTTCGCAACAACTGGGAGCACTTGCTACTTGTTCAACCCTTTGACCTTCAAAGTCTAAATAGCCCACTGAAGATGTGCATAGGGATCCATACTTGTCCCATCCTTGTTCTTGCCACTTGCTTTTGCTTGGCCAAGGGATTGGGTGGTGTAGCTCGACTTTTCATACTCCTTTCGGAAGATGATAAGCCCTATAGTTCGAACTCCCGTGGTTCTGAATCTGATTCCACAAGTGCAATGTGAAATAGGTAAACACAAAAGAGTCCAAATTCAACAAATCTTTTGAAAAATCGAGTACTTCCTTGTATTGGCTTCTCTAGATTCAGACAAAAGTTCATTTCCTCACGATTGATTAGATTTTATTCCAATGAATGTCCCTGGCTTGATGGTTGACTCTTTTCTTTTCTTCATTTCTCTTTCTTTTTTTTTCCCCTTTTCTTTCTTTTGTTTTTTTTCTCTTTTTCTTCTTTTCTTCTTCTCTTTTTTCTTTTT